TCCTCCTCTTCCTCCTCTTCCTCCTCTTCCTCCTCTTCCTCCTCTTCCTCCTCTTCCTCCTCTTCCTCCTCTTCCTCCTCTTCCTCCTCTTCCTCCTCTTCCTCCCAGGCCTCACGCAGGCCCAAGGCCGGCGCTCCCATGGCAGGGGGTGTTTGGGGCATGGGGGGAATCTTTGGGGTGCGGCGGCCCGTCCGTGGTGTTGGGGTGAGGGGAACAGGGCCGCCCTTCCTCCTCCCACACCTTTCTGGGCCAGGGCTGCCATCCCCGCTCCCGATCCTATTATGGCAATGAGATCAGACATATTGCTGCGCTCGCTGGGGGGGCGGCGGAGGGGGGGGCATCGTGAAATCTGAGGGCTAATATGGAAAAAATGTAACTGGAAAAAAATGCCGTGGTGTGTGCGGGAAAGGGGCGGGCGGCGCGGAGCGTCGCGGCCGTGCCCAGACAAAGGAGCCGTCCCTGAGGGGGCTCGGGAAGAGCCCCCCGCTCCCGGCCGGCCCCTTCCCGCTGCCCGGGGATTGCGCTGCCTCCTGGTGCAAAGCTTATTTATTTTCTTTGAGGGGCTCAAAGCATCGCACGCAGCCCGCCGTAGTGCCTGCCTGCCCTGCCATGGGGGCCACCCACTTCTCTGGGGACCCAGGGACGTGTTTCAGGCAGCCCCTCGCTGGCTTTGTTCCCGTCGGGGTGGTGGGTGGCCCTGGGGGGCTGCCCCCGCGTCCGGTTCCCATGGGGTCGGGGTCAGCCCCGTGGCCGGATCCAGGCCCTGCACGGGGGGCTCCGGTTGGGAAAACGGCACAATCCTGCTCGGCTTCGCCCGTGCAGCTGGGGTGAAGTAATCCCGCTTCCCAGATAAGATGGTGGCTGTGGTAGCGTGTGATGCACGCACGCACCTCCTGCCCTGCCCTGCCCGCAGCTCCCCGTGCCCAGGAGCCCCCCGACCGCTGCCACCCTGCCCTCCTCCCCTCCCAGTCTGTGCCCCGTTTCCCAGCCTGGCTGCATGTGGGGGTGTGCTCGATCCGAAGCACACCCAGGAATAACGGTTCATTTAACAGCAGCTCTGAATGTTTCTGCCTTTTTAACTCAAACATGTTAAGCTTGGGTTGGGTTTGAGGGTCCCGCTCTGCAGCATAGGGGCTCAGTGTGTTCTGCTCACCCCGTGGACAGGGGTAGTGTTGGTGATTACCTAGAGTCAGGCTAGAAAAGTCTTTTGGAGTCATCTGACCTTTGTACTTGGCTTGGAGGAAAGGTGAAGGTACTTCACACTTACGCACTTGTGTCTCTTTTGGATTTTTATTCGATAAAAATACCTGTGTGGGTGTCAGGAACTGCCTCCGCTGCTTCCCGGGGTGCTGCTGGGGCAGAGACCCAGAGTGTGTTTGCAAAGAGACACAAATATTTAGTGGTAGTAGTGAATTTCTGTCATACTCGGGAACCGGCTTAGGAATGGGGCTGGGAGGGGGGAAATCCAGCCCCAAACATCAGGATTAATGAGCTGGAGCTCTCTAATAATAATCAGACTTAGCGCTTCGAACTTCAAAGGGCTGTGCGGATGCTAAGTCCCTAATCCCGGGAGAGCTGCGTTCACGAGTTGTTTTTGTGCGTGGCTGTGCTGCCAGATGAGGCTCGGTGTGATTTGGGGCAGCTACATGCGGTCCCACCACCTGTTGGAGATGTGACTGTCCCCTCCCAGGGCTGCAGGTGGGAGGTGATGTGCCCTTGTCCCCTGCCCCCGGTCTATGTTTGACCTTCCAGGGTGCCCACACAGCTTGGGAAAAACTGGGTCAGTCAGCGCGGCTGTTCTCCCTTTGGGAAAATCTGTTGCTGTGGGTCGTGGGCCGTCAGATCCCTTGATCCTGTGTGGTGGCAGCATCTGGCTGCTGGCAGACACGGTGCTGTTGATGGCTCAGTCCTGGTTGTGCCACCCATCTGTTGCCAGCTTGTCTTACACTGCTCCTTTCCCATCCAGGGAGAAATTCCCTTTTTGTGGGAATTTCCACTCTCCTGGCAGGACATGCCTATGCTGGCACTGCACGGTCCCCCTGTAACTGCCTGCAAACCTCTAATGGAACTGGGCTTTCCAGAACCTGCCCTGGGAAGATGGATGGTTCCTAGGGTCCTCCTCCGCTCTCCAAGAGAAAGCCAGCCTGTCCAGTGGGACCTTTTTCCGAAGCAGCCATACAAGGCTTTCATGTGGGTGTCCTCTTGGGGTCCCTGCTCTCCACACTGGCTACTCCAGGCTGTCTGCACACACATGCCCTTGGTCTGTGAGATGAAGCCCCCAACAACATGGGACAGGCTGTGAATTAACCTAAAAATTTTGTCTGGCCTGAATTGGAAGAAGAGCAGAGTGTAAAGCAGTTGCTTTTAATTTTCTCCGTGCATTTGCTCTCTCGGGGTGTGGGGACTGGCACAGATAGAGGAATTTGAGGACGTCTTTCCAGCTACCAGTGTCTTTTTTTTCCCTCTTTTTTTCCTTTTTATTAGAGATCATGGCACAAATGCCCAGAGGACCACCCAGTTAGAAAATAGAACTTGCAGACTTTTCCCACCGCCTCTTCCTGTGACACCCCTGCCCAGTGACGGGGGGTGGTTATTTCCATCTCTTCTCCATTGGACATTATCACTTTCCTACTGTTCTGGATGCTGAGCAGCTGGTGGCCAGCAGCCCTGAGGCTGGAGTGTGTCAGCGTTGGGTCACAGGCTTGGCTTTGCTCTGGGACATTGCATCCATGGGGCTGGGGTGCCCTGTGCTGCAGGGGTCTTGTCCTGGCTCCTTGCATTGTCCAAAGGGTGGCAGGGTGAAGGGTCATGTCCTGGCTGCACTTCTCCCTCCAGCCCTGCTCCTTTTGGGAGGAAAAGCCCCCATTTTCCTGGAAAGCAGCCCCCACGCTCGCATTCCCTGCTCCCCGCTGCTTCTATCATGCTGCAAGAATCCGCCTCTACTTGACTGATTATTAGCACTGAACAGGGAGAGATTTCTCTGCTAATGTCAAATTTGCCTCTGTCCCTGGAGGGCAGGGACTTGGGGCCACAGCCAAGGGGACTTGGGGGGCAGGGTCATAGTGGCTCTGCCCTATGGGCAGCATCCCATCCTTGGACAGTGGCTTGCAGGCAGGGAGGGCAGCAGGGACTTGGAAGCTGTGTTGGATGCTGGCATTGATTTGGGGTGCACTTGAACCTCCGCCTGGCCCAAGGGAAGGGACGTGGCGGTGCCTCTGGGTGCTGGAGAACCGTCCCCTTTGCACGCTCGCTTTCTGCTGGGTTTTTGCATGGCGCCACACCTTATCTGCGCTGGTGCCCGACAAAGTGATAAATCCCCTCTCCAGCACTGTGGAGAGATGTTGTGGCTTCTCCCAGGCGCTGAGGAAGGCCAGTGGTGGGAAGTGGTTAGATACTCCTGCTCGCTGCCAGGCAAACCGGCTTCAGGGCTGCTCGAGGAGGAGCTGGAATT